GGTACAGTGGTAACGCGCTCGCTTAGAGAGTGAGAGGTCTTGAGTTCAAATCCCAGTTGAGGAAACTTTTTTTTTTGTTAAATTCTTTTTTAAGTGTCTTTGTTAAGGAAGTAGCTATGATATGCAAGGATAAAGTGTGGCTGTCGTAAAAAATGAAACATAAATGATTTTTTGATGCAACTCTAGTTATGCAGAATTCCGTATGTATCAAACTCTGGTGCCTTGCAAAATGAATTATAATACATAAAAATAAACTTATACAGGAAAATGCATACAGATATACAGTACGATTTAGATTGCAAAGATCAGAAAAACCACAGAACTTGCAGCCCTTTGATTCTTTATAAATATACATGCTTATAGTAAGGTCCAGGATTATTTACATCTGTGTTAAACAACAGTTAAAGTCGTTACAAGCCCTAATTTAGAATAATATGGTTTTCTTCAGGCTGTTCACATATAAATTCACCGTGGCTGAAGGGTTTTCGGGCTCGCTTAGGAAGCGAGAGGTCTGGAGTTCAAATCCCAGTAAAGGTAACTCATTTTTTTCTTCAAATTGTTAAAGTCAAATAAACATTGGATTGAATATCAGTGTTGAAATTAGTCTTATAGCCAATTTACTACAATTAAAACGCTGGAAAGCATTGGTGACATATAATCTCACAACCTGCAACTTTCTTACATTCTGAGACCCAAACAAATTCAGCGCCTTCTGTGCTTTGATTTTTTTTTGGTGCCAGTAGTATAGAGCTAAGGGTCTTTCAATAAAAAAAGAAGAAATATATAAAAATGAATAGATATCTTAATTAACAATGCTGATAGGAAAATATATAATAATAACATGACTTTATTAGTGTAAATTTATAATGTTAACAAAATGCAAAAAGTCTAACTTCAGCCAGGTGTTAATTTTAATATTAAATTAACATAATCATTCTACCTGCTTCATGTTTTAAAAATTGATGCTTTTAAATATTTATACAGCATTACTTTTTCTGTGCCTATTTACTAAAGTTGTGTACACGTATGTAATCACATAGCACAGTGTACTGTCAGGCTTATCAAATATTTTCTCATTCAATATATTCATTATCACTATACTTACAAATGTAATATACCAGTATGTTGATATTATGATATGTGCTGACAAAATGATTCAGTTGAGACATTTTTTTTTTCAATCTTTATTAAATAACAAAGTCCTTCTTGTTGTACATTGTATGTAATTTGTTTGTTTGATTGGGTTCTACATCACACCAACACAGTATACAGATCATATGGTGATAATTCCAGCTTTACTACTGAAGGAAGACCTCAGGTGCACTTCCATGCATTATTTCAGGTACTATTGGGCACCTGAGTAGAACCACCGACATTCTGTAAGCTAGCTGGATAGCCTCCTTACATGAAAACATTGTATATAATAACATTATATTATTTATTACGGTGTTTCAGAGTCAAAGGCAGTAAAGGATTATAATTATGAGGGGATACGCAGCTCTCATTGCGTTCACAGTGACAAAACACAATATACTTGTATAGTACAATTTGAGCTCAAAGCTTAATAAAATATTATAGCTCTTTGAGTGGAGTTAAAGCTGTGCACATGCTTTCAGATGAGCCACAATATTTCTTAAGAAAACTGTACTCTTTTAGAAAAGTAAAAATAATTACAATTCAAGTTATAATTTACATGTTGCCTGTACGAAATTTTCTGCACAGAAATGGGGCGGAATTCAATGGCAGATTCCGCCTAGAAATTTAAATTCTCCCCCAAATATTCAAGTGTTACTACATGCAACAAATGACTGATTTGCTATATTTATTGTGACAGACACAGTAAGGGCTTTTTTTGCATATTTTGACATTTATATTGTAATTAATTATTTATGTGGATTGAAAGTGCCATTTGCATTGTGTAAATTACTTTCTTTATTCGCTTGTAAATATTCTACTTTATAATAAATTTTCAAAATGTTTATGAAAATCAGCCTGAATCTGGAGGCAAGTTGCTTTAAAACTTTAACATGTATTTTTAAGTTGATAAAGAAAGATAATTCTGTCAAAGTCCATGAGTTATGTTCCCTTGCATGCAAGTTATAGTGATGATTATAAACAGTATTCCAAGTTCAAAAGTAATATAGCAGCTAGGTCATACACATTCTTAATAACAAGAGCTGTCGGTAGGACAGCAACGCTCGACTATTCTTAGTGCTTGATAGTAAAAAAAATGCTTGATAGAGTTACCTCCTCCTGTTTACAGGTTGGGGTCATGATGGTGAACAAGTGTGCAAAGTTTCAAAGCCATATGTCAATGGACTTTGAAAATATTTGAACTATTACAAAAACTTTAACGTAAATTTTAAGTCGAAAAAGGGGCATAATTCTGTCAAAATGCTTGATAGAGTTACCTCCTCTTGTTTACAGGTTGGGGTCATGATGGTGAACAAGTGTGCAAAGTTTCAAAGCCATATGTCAATGGACTTTGAAAATATTTGAACTATTACAAGAACTTTAACGTAAATTCTAAGTCGAAAAAGGGGCATAATTCTGTCAAAATGCTTGATAGAGTTACCTCCTCCTGTTTACAGGTTGGGGTCATGATGGTGAACAAGTGTGCAAAGTTTCAAAGCCATATGTCAATGGACTTTGAAAATATTTGAACTATTACAAAAACTTTAACGTAAATTCTAAGTCGAAAAAGGGGCATAATTCTGTCAAAATGCTTGATAGAGTTACCTCCTCCTGTTTCCAGGTTGGGGTCATGATGGTGAACAAGTGTGCAAAGTTTCAAAGCCATATGTCAATGGACTTTGAAAATATTTGAACTATTACAAAAACTTTAACGTAAATTCTAAGTCGAAAAAGGGGCATAATTCTGTCAAAATGCTTGATAGAGTTACCTCCTCCTGTTTACAGGTTGGGGTCATGATGTTAAACAAGTGTGCAAAGTTTCAAAGCCATATGTCAATGGACTTTGAAAATATTTGAACTATTACAAAAACTTTAACATAAATTCTAAGTCGAAAAAGGGGCATAATTCTGTCAAAATGCTTGATAGAGTTACCTCCTCCTGTCTACAGGTTGGGGTCATGATGGTGAACAAGTGTGCAAAGTTTCAAAGCCATATGTCAATGGACTTTGAAAATATTTGAACTATTACAAAAACTTTAACATAAGTGGTTACGCCGACGCCGACGCTCGGGTGACTGCAATAGCTCTACTTATTCTTATCGAATAGTCGAGCTAAAAAGGGGCATAATTTTGTCAAAATCCACAAAAGATTTATGTACTCTTGCCATCAAGTAGATATGACATCCTGTAACCCACGGTGATTATTGCTGACATTAGTACAGTTGTCAAAGTGATAAAAGCTCATACTAGTCTTCAAATAGTCTGACTTTTACATTTGAAGGAGTTGTACACAACAAGGAGTCAGACCATTCAAGTCACATTACAAATTAGACGGCATGTCAAATTTTATTAAATAAAAACATCAATTATCTAAGATTGATTGTCACATATTTATGTTTGTTTTTTGTTGCTCTCAAGGGATATGTCATTTTAAAATTTTCATACACACCAAAACTGCAGCACTGATGCTGTGCTGTGTGGCAGCCATAAAGAGTTGTCAATATACATATAAATATCAGTGATGTTAATTTTTTCTTGTTCAACTGAATAATTTAATTATGTTCAATAAAATTAATTCACTGATGAAGACTGAAAAGTTTCACTGAAAATAATACATGTGTGTACTGGTGCAGAACTATTAGGCTTGAGAAATATGTGATGCATTCTATATAAAACATCTTCCAAGAATAGTAACAATCAAACAGGGTCTGCACTCTGCGGTAATATTTATTTTGTCTTTGTTGCTTTTAGGTATTCTCCTCTTTTCAGAATTTCTAAAATTTTCATTGTCACTCCTTAATTTTTAAACAAAGACACAAAGTGAATCAAGTAAAATGCATACTAAATAAGTATACTTAGTACAAATCATTGCTGGTCATTAAATACAAAGACACATACAATATAAAAGACCTTTTAGATATTGTTCTAAAATCATTCTGGTAACAATTTAGTTATAATTATCTACTCACAGAAACCCCTCGAAACGTTGGAAGTTGAAAACTTTATGGAGTAGATAATGACAGATATGTTACAAAAACTGGGATTTAGGATTTATACCAAGCATTCTGAACAGTGATGTTCTAGTCCAAGGGTTATTGAGCTTAACTCAAGTTAGTTTAGTTCCCCGTCTACATTTACTACGGAAAGTAGTGTAAGGGGAAGGAACTCCTGACTAGAAGGCATTAAATGTTGCAACTCAGCATTTCTAAATATGCGATCATTAAAGTGGCCTGAAGCTTTTCTAAAGGTTAATAAATGTTATTTTTAAAATAAATCGTTTAAAAGAATTGTCAAATTAAAAGAATTAAGATTTCAAATGAAATTTGTCATCGATGGTACATAGATAATACGGAAACCCCTTGAAACCTCTAATCTCCAGGTCCGCTGTCTATATGTAAATTAGTAAAGAGCGCAATTCTTTTCCCAATCTTCTATTTTAAGAAACAAACACCACTGCACGCTATTAATAGCTCTTTTGGTGCTGTCTTGAAGAAGGCTTAACAATGCTATGATGCACTTTTCCTAGATAATATTACTGAATTACTTTGTTTAAAACAGCACAGAATTGTTTTTCAAACAAAAATTAAAATCACCACTGCAAGACCAAAGCTGAAGATGTATCAACACCAGAACATGATATTGATGTCTATGATTTTATGTTCACAATATATCTTTATGTATATATTCATTTAACTTAAATGTGATGCATTATTTGTACAGCTTAAATCATTATGTAGTACAGCCTAATTTTTTTGCCTAAATCATTATGTACTTGGAAAGAAAGCGAAAATGATCTTTTTACCATAAAAGAGGATCAAATAATAATAGGGAAATAGGGAAAATACATTAAATAATATAATTGTAAATGCAGAAAATGATAACAAATGTTTTTAATTTTCCAACATTTTTATAATGCTAGGTACATGTTTTATTTTCATGAATGATATAAATAATATAATAAATTCAAAGTCTGAATGAATCTATTTGATAAATTCCTAAAAAGTATAAAAGCAGAATGTGCAAAGAAAGACAACAGGACTTCTTTATAGTATGAAAATGATGCAAAGAAAAATGGCCATACAATATGCTGACCTGCTTTGTATTTATTTATAAATTTAATAGCATGTACTTTACATTAAAACAATGTACCTAACTAAATGACATACATGTATATAAAATAAAATATTAAATTTATCACAGACAAAACATCAGACAATAACATTTTTTAATTTTTTAATTTCTTAAGCAGATATATCTTGTTAATTTTTGTTTCCCTGTTGTTCTTTTCACTGGTCTTTTTTGTATCGACTGTTAAATCCATTTATGTTCTTAAGTATTAAATGTTTATTTTTCTTTATATGATAAATAATTTAACAGTCTGGTTCCTGAACTTTCATCTGGCCAATTCTTGGTTTGTTAGGATTGTTTTCAAGCAACCAGTCTGCTAGCCATACCTATAAAAATATATCAAGAAATAAATCATATGACAAAAACAACACTAAACTGCACTAAGGGTTTAAAACTTTCATCAACAATTTTATCTATAAATTCATGAAAAATATACAATTTTTATAACATAATCAGTCCAATGTTTTTTAAAAAAAAAGAATCGATGGACATAAACAGACAAATCTTTTATGCATTGATAATTATTTTTTTTTTAATGGATGTCACATTATGCCTTAATGAAAAATGTTAAAACATCAAAAATACACATATATGTTTATTTGCACAGTAGTTCACTTAAAATTTAACCATTTGAAGGCAATAAAAATTATGGACACAAGCCTTAAAAGGTTACAATATATGTAAAAATTCTGTAATAAAATAAAACATCAAAATAAAATACAACATTAAGAAACACTAAGATTTGTAAAAGCCAAAATTTTTAAGCCATAAATTTATTACGATGAGAACTTGTGAATATAATATTTTTCAACAAATTTTAAGAACAATAGCTCACCACAGGGTCAAGTGGTTTCTGTTTACACAATTCTGTAAGTCCTTTTAACAAAGTAGGGTTAACTTTTCTTGAAAGGAAATCTTTTGATGCCTGACCAACTGGAACTGGCTCAATAATGCCTGCAATACACATACATGTATACAATTATTAAAATGCTACAAACATTAAAATCTCAATCAATTTTCAATTTATTAAAAAATATACACAGGTCTGTGTCACAAGGCTGGCATATCTGATTTTGACTTACTTGTTCATTTTTATCGTAAGCATTTTTTAACTTTTCTGTATGATTATAAATTATTTAGTTAGTTTTTGAAAATTTCCACTTGTCCGTACAGGTTGTTGGCAATTAATTTTGCCGCCCACGAGTCAGAATTAAAACTTTAAAGGAAATGCCAACATTTCAAGTTTTTAAATACAAAGTAAAGGTAAACACAAGTATATAACATATATACATAAAAAAACAGAAGAAGAAAATCTTATCACAAACTTTGGCGCAGGAGTGTAATAAAGTCATTCAATAAAAACAATATTACACTAGTAATAACACTTTGAAGTGACTTCATTTGTGCTATATATAAATATTGTGGTAAAGCGTATTAATGTTAGCGTTACACTGTAGGTGCGTCAATGTCTCTTTTTAACAGTTTACCATTGTTATTATATATATCTGATAAATAGAATATTATATTCGTGTAGATTCAATACTAGATTAATTGAGCTTGTTAAATAAAACAATATTATGCTCACCAGACGCTCACATAATATGATTTTATTCAACTCATTTAATAAATTTAGTATTAAATCTACACTCATTCAATATCCTTCATTCCAGTGGTGTGAAATTTTCAAGTTTTAAAAAAAATTAACAAGTTTAATATAGCTGATACCAGTTTATATAACAGATGACAACTGACCAACACCTATTTATAAAAGAACATTTGACACAGAAAATAACAAATGAGCCGTGTCATGACAAAACCAACATAATGGGTTTGCGACCAGCATGGATCCAGACCAGCCTGCGCATCCGCGCAGTCTGATCAGGATACATGCTGTTCGCTATCAGTTTCTCTACTTGTTATAAAGTTGTAAGCCAACAGCATGGATCCTGATCAGACTGCGAAGATGCGCAGGCTGGTCTGGATCCATGCTGGTCGTAAACCCATTATGTTGGTTTTGTCATGACACGGCTCAAATATTTTGACTTACTGTCTGGAAAGAAAAATCTGATTTCTCTTTCTGAAGCTGTGAAACTTTCGCTTCCATGAAGAGCATTTCTTTGATCATCTGTTCCATATATAGCTCGTAAGCTGTGGAATAAACAAAAGTTGTTTTATTATGGTTTCCTACCACAAAATACAACATCTTGTAGAATAGTTTAAAGTCACAGACAACATTGATCGTTTTTGAATGTACCTCCTACATGTTGTTGTTTTTTTTCAATAGAAATGAGATAAAATATATAAAGGTATTTAGCTGTATGTTTACACTGATACAAAAATGCCTGAGAAATAATTCCAAAAAAAAAAAAATTGAACTTTTCACAAAATAAAAAAAACATAATCCTCACTTGATATTATATTGCAATACCAATGAACAAGAAAATATTTCAAAGAAATATGAATGACATTTCAAATATTTTTCAACATTCATCATGCTTTTTTATAATAAAAATACCAAATTAACACTTTAAATCAACACTCAGCCATTTCAGAGTAATGCTTACGATATTTTTCAAAATCAAAATTATGATTTTTAACTGATACAATTCTTATTCCAATCTCCTGTAAAAATAATAACATTTCATGCACAGAGAGTTTAGCCATTATTTAAATGCTACTTTTTTATATCTTCTTTTATATTTCAAAATCAATTAAAAACTACGAAAAAAAAATCACCTGTCTGGGTGAGTCTGTCTGGCTTTAATTGTGTTGGTTGGGCCAATTAATTCTCTCCAGTAGGATATAGCCTGGTCTCTTGCTATGACCAGTGCAATCACTGGCCCACTTGACATGTATGCCACAAGACTTGCGAAGAAAAGTTTTCCATAATGTTCAGCATAAAAGTCACTGGCTTGTTCTGGTGTCAAATGTACTCGTCTTTTCTGATCAAGAAAATTAGACATGATATAACTCACAAATGGCATTATTAAATTTCAACATGGTTTAGTGCCACTTTGTTAGTGTTTCTGACATATAAATACAAACAGTTAACGTGTTACCCTCCTATCCTTACTTTACCATTACTTACAACATTTTCCATCAAGCATGCTTTTATGCCTATCTTACAGTATCTTCTTTACTTAAACTATTAAATCTAGTTAAAACATAGTGGGAGAATTAACAGCTAATAAACTCTGCTCTGTCTCACATTTTCCCAAAGATTTTGTTTACAGCTTTACTTTACTTTACTTTACTTTATCCAGCGTAGGGTCGCGAGATCAGAAATCTCTTATAACCCCCTCGAGGTCTGACACCCAATGATTATTTTCCGGTATAACAGTATAAAATTTGTTTTTCATAATCTTATCGAGTCTGTTTTTTAGCGAATTCAGCGTTGGTGAACATACTACAGAATCTGGTAATTTATTCCACTCTGGTATTACTCTTAATGAGAAAAAATGTTTTCTTAATTCCTTTTTACATGATTTTATTTTCAACTTCATGGAATTTCCTCTGATTTGATGATTATCAAGTTGGGGCAGCACGAAATACCCAAATATACCCAAATATACCCAAATACACCCAAATATTGCCTAAATATACCCAAATATTGTCCAATTATACTAAAAATAAATGTTTTATACTAAAAAGTGCTGTTTTAATCATGAATACAATATACACTTTCACTTAAGAAATAACATCGGCCTGAGAGGTGTATATCGGCTATTTAACACCGGTTTGGAGTTTTGATGCGTAGGAATTGACCACGAAGGCCGTAGGCCTGAGTGGTTAATTTTGTCGCATCAAAACGACAAAACCGGTGTTAAATAGCCGATATACACCTCTCAGGCCGATGTTATTTCGATTCTAACACGATGAAATAAGGAAAATCACTAATGTTATTTTTCAAGCGGAAATAACTTCCGGTGCCGATTTTCGTATAAGGCTGTTCGATTTTCGCACCCTACTGTTGCGAAGATAGAGAAATTTTTAAACAAAAGAAATAATAAGAAAAAACACGTTATTTTATCAAGTTTTCAACATTAAAAACTTACGTCGTATTGTGTTTACATCAGTGCCCCATTTATCATTCTTGTCTGTATGAAATAAGGTCAGCTTGTTTATGAATGAGTTGTTTACTTAGGATGACGTCATTACGCTGCTTACGGATTGGCGCCGTTTTGTCAAAATATTTATTAGCTGATATGGATCTAATATGTGGCGTTAGTGTATGTGAGATATTATTTTGGTATTGTATGAAAAGAAAACATTATACGAACTGAAAAATTAAATAAAAATGCTTTTAATTGTTGCTTTAAAATGCTTTGTAAACTATACAATCGAGGGTGAAAACATAACAGCGCATATACAAGTAGTCCCTAACGGGTGTTTATTGGCAGTTTAACACCAGTTTTTTTCCTTCTTTGTCTATAGTGACAAAATCACGTGAGTGTTAGAATAAGATATAATCAAACATACCCAAATATACATTTTCCTATCATTGTGTTTTGAACCAAGATACAGTATATGTACTCCATTAAAGCTTTTTTTAATAACATGGACTTCTTCCTCTATTATGATATGAAATTTCAACAAAATTACACCTTAAAAATGTAAGTGAAGACAACAAATATCATATCTTGAATTAAAATTGCATTCATAAAGAAGCGATATTGTAGATAAGCAAATGTCACAACTTTATTTTCTTACAACATCTTAACTGCCCATTTCAACGAAATGAATGAAAGTTATAGCAGGCTAAGTCATGTTATTTTATAAGTATTTATTTATTTCTCATTATAATCTATATTTTATACAAACAAAAATAAATATTGCTATATTTGGGTATATTTGGGCAATATTTGGGTATATTTGGGTGTATTTGGGTATTTCGTGCCGCCGATCAAGTTGTGCTTTTTCAAAAAATACATTATAATCTATATCTTCCTTCCCATTTAATAATTTCCATGCTTGTATGATATCACCTGGTACAGTATCAATTCTATTTTCTAATTTAAAAGAACTTATAAAATCAAATTTTGAAAAATTCAAATGAGTGTTTGTAAACGTTTGTTAAAATCGATGTAAAAAATGAACACCAATATAAAATTGAAAAAGTACCCCACCCACTAAAATAAAGTAAACGAGCACCTGCAATATCGCAAATCCTGATCTAAGAATAATATCTTCAATTTCCTCTGATTTGTGTACAGCATCAGGTTTTATAATTGCAAGTGTTCTTTCAACATAAATATGAGGAGGATCCATTCCAATATCTTCAGCGTTTCCACCCGTCATTTTTTCTTAATCGTGTAACGAAAAATGTAAACAACTACTGCTTCCTCTGTTGCTTGGTTACAAGAAAAGTTATACGAAATGAACGAAATGAAACTCCTGAAATATTAAATAAGCGAACTGAAAAATTGATATATCCGGATTTTTAAGATATAATAGTCCCGTTTAAAATAAATGAATTATCTGGCACCACGCTAAATATCTTAAAGGGGACTTTTATTTGAGATATTGAGCGTGGTTCAGATTAATAAATTCTAGATGGCGCATCATATGTATGGAAAATTTCAAAATGGACATAACGACACTTCACCTCTCAAATTTTAAGGACACTTTGAACACCCAACTTATGAGATTTTTCAAAGAGACATTAAGATACTAATAGACGGGCGATGTCTTTTTCCAACGGCAACGGTTTGACAGTAAGAAGAAGGAAAAAAACAGTATATAAAATGGGCCACGCCGACTGAGTTAAGCTACCCACCCAAAATCAGTAAGACACAATTAAATTTATCTCCATTTCCATTTTTTTCTAGAGTATACTCGTTACTATACTTTAACCACAAATAAACCTTTTTATTTTCTTTATGTTTAGTAACTATTGATATAGATTTCTATTTAAATCTAGACAACTTTTAATATATATTAAACCGTTATGGGTTTCACTATCAAAGAGGTAATTTAAATAAGGCAACACCGAGTCTTGCTCGACACCTGAAAGGGAGCCCTACATCTTGTTGGGGCGGGACGTAGTGGACCCACATTTCAACATATTGTTTACACCTAGACTATGTTATTTACTCTAAAGGTTTTTGTATTCTGTCTTGTTCAAGCACTTTAAGGGTACAAAAGAAGCTGTATCATATAAATGTTTTAACAGAATTCATTAAACGGTAGAATTATGCTGTTTCAATAATATTATGGTGGATTATCGAAAAAGTAGTTACATAAAACGACTCTGTTATTGAAGACATATGCATACTATTTGCAAACAGAATAAAATGTCCGGAACAAAATATTATGTTGATATTTTAAGTAGGATTTTAATCGGTGAGCAACAATTTTGTACCATTCGCTCATAAGGAATTATACCAACACATTTCTTTCAAACATGTATTTTAGAATTATTCTTTTTTAAAATTCAAACAAAAATTTTGTAAACTGAAGCTAACAGATATTATGGCTTTATACACTTTAATAATGGTGTAATAGTTTTTTATGTCTACCCTACCCAAGAACGGTATCATTTCTAAAGCTGTACCGAAAGTGCTCCGAAAAAAATGTGTGCCAACTCTGACTAATGGCGCTTTGTAGAAATTGTTTATACTGAAAACCAACTGTAAATGTTACTTATTTTAGTTTTTCTTGACGATTTGGCGAACTTTTAAGGTGCACTTTAGATATACGTTGAGTTGTATGGGTTGCGCCGCTCTGATATTACCATAGTTATTTAAGGCAATCTGAATCGGTATTTGACGACAGTAAATAAACAGATGCATAATTGAACTTAACAGAGGCATTAAATGAATGAATGAATGAAAAAATGAATGAATGAATGAATGAATGAATGAATGAAACCAAACGAGACGAAAGAAACATATCCGAAATGGGCAAGCGAGAGTTGCATAGGTGGTAAGTTTAAAACAACATTGCCCAAGTGACTATTCAAGCGTACTTTTCAACGCCTTCACGCAGACGTTGTAATTAAAATATGTGCTCAAATTGAAGTCACGCAATGATCTCCTCCATTTCACAGTTATCGTCTGCTTTTTTAACATCATAAACAATGTATAATAGAAGATCAATCAATATTAATATTATTCTGTCAATGATCGACCATGCTGACAAATATAATTCTAATTAGTGCAACATGTTGCTGTATCGAAAATATAATTGTTATATCAGAGAAATTAGAGACGAAAGAAATTCAGACGTTTTAGCAATTCCAATGCCAGTTAACAATTCATTTAACAATACTTTTACTACATGCCGTACTTAGGAGTGAAAAAATATAACTATGACAAATTTAAATTTAGTGATAATATTTGCATTTATCACTCTTCTTAATTTACAGGATGTGTTTTCTGCAGGTAATTTTTATCTTTGACAGTTTTTCTTTGATAGATATTCTCTCTCAAAATTTTATGCAATATTGTTAAGCTAAACATTTTGATAAATTTTGGCTTCTTTAAAATTAAGTTTAAATGGAATGGAAAATTTTACTCTTCAAATAGCTTGAACATCAAAGTGAAGAGACCTGGAATGAAAATAATATGACACATTTACCATAACTTTTGGATGAAAATTAATGATTTATTAATAATCGGTAAAGACTTTTAATCGCTTGTCAATCAAATCATTAATCGGGAATTATAATTAGATAAATCTTCCGTTTCCCTTCCTTCGGCAGAATGTGACGTCACATCAGTAAACGTGACGACAGATCAGCCATGTACTGACGTTGATTATGACGCCATCGTGATGCCGAACACAACAGAGGAAGGAACAAACATTACATACACGTGCAAAAGTCTGCTGACACGTACAAAGGCCCAAATTGACTATTGTCCTGTACAGCTTTGTCAAGCAAATGGCACGTGGAGAGAAGCAACGTTGTCATGTGGGAGTAAGTTATTTCTCATCTTTGCTTGATTTTCCTACTAAATTAGAAATGTTCCACTGATGTGTTATTAGTTCAAATCGACCGTTCGTATTTGAATGTTCATTTATTTTCCTTACATGTAAAATTGCATGTTATTACAAATAAGAAAAAAGAAAAAGGTTGGCATAAACATTAACAAGTGGGAGTGATCAAATTTAAGTGTTAAATTCGTAGTTTTTGAGAGCAAAAACTTCTTGGAAATACATACAATTGTGCATTTGCAATAGCTTGGCGCGGCCGCCCAAAAGCAGCCAACCCGCCAGGCGATTTCTTTTGTAAGCATATATTAAAGTCTTGTATTTTCATAGCAGTACATGTAATACCGATTTCCGCAGTCACTTAACTAATGGTCAGATTTCAATGCAAATTTGGTTGCACAATACCTCAGAGGTTTAAATTAAATTAAACATAGGGTACATTGTGGTGGTCTAAATGACAAGGTTGCAGAATATCTGCGATGTTTAGACACCAGTCCGCGTGGTTATGGCTTTTGTAAGTAATATACCCTCAGTATTTTCGGAAAAGTACACCATTTTCCGGAGTTCACCATCAACTAACCATTTGTCCGATTTCAATGCAAGTTTGCTGATGCATAGCTTGGAGACTTTTCTTACAGGCATATATTTGGCTTACAGGCATATATTAAGCCACATTTTGTTCGGTCAAAAATGCCTACGCGTCATAGACTTTAGAAAGTTATTATGTCAGTGTAAATAGTCTTATGCTTTCCCGTAAAATTATATTATACATAAGGTAAATTTTATGCTTTGTTGACGATTGGGTTGATTAACAGGTTCTGAATGCATAAATGGGTCATCGGAGGATTATATAGGCAGTAGAGTGTGCACTGTTTGCGGCAAAATGTGCCAACGTTGGGATAGCCAATCACTGTGGCCACACCCCTTTACCGAGAACTCCATGTTCCCGGAATATAATGTTACATTGGCGCATAACTACTGTCGGGATCCAAACGGAACCAGGGGCGCCCCCTGGTGTTACACAGAGGATAACAGCACAGAATGGGAATTTTGTGGCATCCCGAATTGCATAGGTATTATATTTAATATGTCTGGATAATTTGATCAGCCTACTATCATTGATTTAATAGTAAATTAAGCCGTGATTGGTCGATTTGAAGTTTTTATACATTCAAAAGTAAAAAAAAGTTCGTATGCTTTACCGACATGGACAGTTGACATCAAAGTCAAATTTGTTACATAAGATTGTGAAACAAATATAGTAGAAACAAACACGACTTTTTAGTCATAATTTAGTAAGGACTAATCGGCAAGAAGTTCCGAATGTAGATTATAGACTTTTTGAATTTTTAGAAATGCTTACATGTTTAACTACGTCTATATATCATTTTAGTTTGCAAACCGCTTTATCCATTATATGGTTATAATATCGAGGGTTGACCGCAAAACTGTTGTAAGTCCTTCTTTATTTCATATGAGTTATTGCAGTTTTGCAGTCAATCCTCGATATATGGAACGGTTTTCAATTTTATATCCAAAAAGTAATTCTGTAACAAAACTTTGAAAATCTAAAAATCATAAATGTAAATGTTTAAATTTTTTACAGATATAAAACATTTTTATTTCAGATGTAACTGTTGATCAAGGCATATGTCCAAATGGTGTGTATTCGTATATTTTCTTCTTATTTATTGAATCTTAATTTTTTTTCGATGCATGACTTTTTTACATAGAAATACTGAAATATAAACCATAAAACTTTCATAACAATGGTTCGCCAGTAACAATAAAACTATATAGTCACATTAAACATGTACATACACGACCTGGTATCTCAATTTTTTGTCGACTACATGAAACGATTTCTTTTACGTTTGAACAGATTATTGCGGAGACCCAGAGCCAGCCCTTACCACAGACAATGTGTGTAGTCAAACCATGATGGCCGGTGGTTACCTGAGGAACATCGGTTCCATCATTAAGTACGTCTGCAATGGGCTGTTAAATGGCTCCCACTCACTGGGAAATTATTGTCCCGTGAGGACCTGTCAGGAAAACTTCTACTGGACTTCAGTGTCACTTTCCTGCGGAAGTATGTACACGTTTTTCTATACCGTAAAACAGCATGCCTCAAGATTTATGCTAATTTTCATAAAAATTTTGAAAATGTATTTGAAATTAAAGTATTGTGTAGTGAAATTAAATATTGAAAACGGCATTTGCAATCCACGTAGTTTATGGAAAAGTCAAAATATGCAAAATATCCCTAATTGCGTTAGTCACGCAATAGAAATATGGTGATAAATACTGCAAAATCGGTCAGTAATTAATTATCACTGCAATCTTATATATCTTTTTACTTTTAAGTTTGACTTTCATGAAATATTTTGACTCATCTGGAAGCATATAGCTTTAATGTGTACATAAGGACATTGACAGTATAAATGTGTTTACAGCAAGGGCACTTGGTCACAATGTTCAACGTCCGTTTTCAAGATTCTTTACTGTATACATGTATGTTTCTTTTTAAAATCAGAAATTGGCAAAAATAAAAACAATTAAAACACGTATCAAAAAGCGTATTTTGTAGATCGTTTGTGATGTCGAACAATGGTTTTTATTCACTTAATACATATAAACGTATGTTTTATAAATGCGTACATTTTTGTGTGTGTAAAATACTTTTTAAACCAGTGAATGAATGCTATGGGGCGGGACAATCAATGAATTATACTGGTAAAAGGACATGCAGTGCCAGCGGTCAAGCTTGTCTACCTTGGAACAGCCTTTCTCCACAAGCGCACAACTTCACCTCATCTGACTTTCCGGACACAGACAGTACGCTGAAGTATCATTTATCTCTATCTTAAATATCCAAAATAAATTTGTATTAGGCACATACATGTATAAGCAACGAATAAGTTCAAACCTTTTTTGCTGTTCCCCCAGTGCATATACACGTTAGTTTGAATTACGAGTAATAAAGATCTCGAGTAATAAAATAATTATACAGTCACTTTTCATGCACATTTTCTTAAACTGCCACATAAGCGTTTGATTTTACATAGAACGTACACACAAACGTAGAAACACTTGACAATTTTTGCTTTTTATTAGTGTCAACATAGATATCCTTGTGAGTCAAGCATCCGATTTGAATTTTGAAAAGTAAAGGATTTCATGCAAAATTACACATGTTAAGTTTTAAGTTTTCAATTATATATAGTAATATATCATCAATATTTTATTGTAAGGCATATTTTTAATTGCAGTTACTATCTAACATAATGTCGAATATTGATATTTCAGTTCACGAGGCTGGCACATACTGTAGAGACCCGAATGGTACAGAAGGTCAGCCATGGTGTTTTATAAACGAAACGACAATGGAGTATTGCGAAATCCCGGAATGTTCAAGTAACGAATCTTACAAATTCTTACAAATTACTGGAGTACATTTTTACATGGATTTTTAACATAATATGTAAACTTAATTTTCCTCATTTTCGTAACTCTGCAGCTCTGATCACAAAAAAATCTTTCGACAGATTTCTGTTGTAGAAGAAATCTTACGATTAATCTCCTTTTATTAAAATATCTTAAGAAAATCTGAAGTGCAAAAGCTGTCGTAACTTTACGATAGGTGTTCCCCATTCGTAAAATACAGTTTGTTTTTGTAAAATGTGATTTATATTGGTGTCGTAAATACGTTACATCTTTTTCCTGTAAACAAAATACCAGATGAATTGAAAGGTATTTGTGGACAAATGGATTAGTATCACCTTCCTAAGTCGCCTTTTGAACATAACCAGCCCTAAAGTTGATTAAAGGAACCCATCCACTGTTAGGTGCCCGCATGAAACAATTCACAGAGAGTTATCTTCGGGTTTCCTCTCTAGGTGACTGAGATGTTCAAACAGTCGCTATGTCGGACCGTATTTGGTACAAAAACGAATATGGTACAAATTTGTACCATATTCGGCCGAATATGGTACAACTGTCTAATTGTACCATATACGTATCTGCAGTTTTGGGGTAAAATGCCTGACCAAATATGGTACAAACTTGTACCATATTCGGATGAAAAATGTACCACATTCGTTCCGAATATGGTACACACTCATCATCGTCATCATCATCATCATCATCATCATCATCGTTATCTCATCATCATCACCATCATCATCATTATCATTATCATCATCATCATCATCATCATCATCATCATCATCATCATCACCATCATCATCACCATCATCATCATCATCATCATCATCATCATCATAACTACAATTTGCATCAACGTCATCAATAACCAACACTCTAACGCACACATCTGCTTACCAACCAAAAAAGATTGAATATCCAATGTTTCAAATTCAAATAATTGACACATACAATGTATTTCTATTTTCAAAATTTACTTTCCCTTAATCAAGACAACATATTATAGATTCAAAACTTAAACTAAAATTATTAAGTTTTGTTTTATTTTTAGAATGTTTACATGAACGCTTTAAAAACGTTCTTTACAATTCTCTTGAATATTGAGTAAAAAATCGGACCAATTTTTTCGTATTCAAATAAAAAAAAGTTTAGGGTCGGGCGAAAAAAATAGGTAGGGTCGGGTCACCGGAACCAGACAATTTTTTTCTTTTCGCCTAATGTTTAGGAATACAGTCACACCTGTCTAAAGCAGCCAGTCAAACATCCTTATTTTTGGAGAGATATATTCATTTAAAAGAGCTCAAAATCTCTTAAATCGGATTTTGGTGAAAATACACTTTCGAAAAAAAAAGTTTTAAAAATTTGAAAATTGCTATTAATGATCTTGTGAATTGTTTGGGTCAATCTAAAACTACTGACCAAAGGATATTGAATTATATCGAAGAAATTCTATCGTAAAACAACTGCAAATGCATGAAATATGAATTTCGTTAGTTATTTTTTCGGCCCAATTTCTTGTTTATTTTTCGTATTTTCTCATGCAATATCTTCTTGTCAGAAGTTTTAGATTGACCCAAACAATGCACAAAATCATTAATATGGCTGACGCGACGTCATTCGACCAATCGAATGCGACGTCGACATTCCTGCAACGACGTTTGCTTAAAGCAATCATATCTGGACAAAACCTACCAATTATTATTAAAATGTATTAAAATATAAGCATTAATACCTAGGGGTATTAAACGATCAAATTTTCCAAGAAGCGCTGGCGCGCTTCATGGATTTGCTCGCCTACCTTTACCCTTACAAGTTCACACTCTATGAACATAACCAAAATGCGATAATCCTCAAACTTTTACAGAGTTACCTGGAGCAAGCACGTCTCTAGTCTTAGAGTACTAGTACTTAGTAACCAGTACTAAGCAGATACATTCGCCAGTAATTGACAACTGTCCTACTTGAAACAGCGGTAGGGGAAGAATGGCCGTAGAAATCATTTCGTGACCAATCTCCACGAAAGTATCTGGCCCGCCCGAGAATCGAACCCAGGCCGCCTGCGTGCCAATCTGACGCGCAACCGACTGAGCTAGCCGGCGAAACAGTTACACAACCAGCAAAATCCATGTAAAGTGTGGTTAGGTTAGCTGTTTCTGTTACTGCTAGTTACGACGACGACGACGACGACGACGACGACGACGATGATGATGATGATGATGATGATGATGATGATACTTTTGTCACTTCCAATATTAGGTTAATACAATGTATTTGAGTTTGAAAAAAAGTTTACACATCGGCAGACTATTTCATTTATTAAGAAATACATAATTTATGTACCATATACGTAGGCCATTTTCATTTTATGAGTTTTTTTGGTATGTACCAAATACGTTTTGGCGAGCATAGAAAAACTTATTCCAACCGAATATGGTACAATGTTTGTACCATATTCGGTCGAAAATTGTACCATATTCGGTCCGAATATGGTACATTTGTACCATATTCGACCGAATATGGTACATTTGTACCATATTCGTTTTTGTACCAAATACGGTCCAACATCGCTATATGATCTTAACAGTCATGCTTTAAATATAGCGCAATCATAAATGTATTATTATTATTATATTATTTTATTTCGAAGTTGAACTATTGTAAGTAAGTAAGTAATTATCATGCAAAAACAATATAATCCGTTATCTGTTATTTTACAAATGCATTATTGTCAATTAAAATATCACCGATCTTACTAATGCCAAACATATTTTTTAACATACAGCATTGCCAGTAAACTATGGAAAGTGCAAACCTCCTAGTAAGTATAAAAGCTTTTTTGGGGGGAATATAATCTTGGAAAAATTACTTGTAAGGGCACTTACATATGTACATATAGTATGTCGTTATGTGATCTGGTAAAGTTTCAACTTTCAAAAAATATAGAATTATTCCTAACAGTTCATAAATTACGATTACAAGATCACTCTTAATAAATTTTAAGAGCTACTTATACAAGATGGCCAATTCATATGACTTTTCGACAAATTGCAAAGGTAAAGGCGATTCAGCTAGATTTTAGTTGTTTTTTTTTTAAATATTTTATTTAAAAAGCTAAACTAAAGAAATTATTTTGTAAATGGATATGCTTTCCCATATTGATGAAAGTTGAAAATATCTAAGGAATGTCATATATATGTTAGACAGGACTGATTTTGAGAATTTGGCTCTCTATAAGATGTTAGAGGCATTTTGAAGTACAAGTGGTATCTTGGTGTTTTAACCTATTTAAGGTATGCTGAATCCGATAAAGGTGGATACCAAATTGAAAAACTTGATCTTGACCATTGAAATGGCCATTTAAAATGACCATTAAAATGGCCGCCAAATTTCTATATCATAAATGGATGATATATCAAATAAAACTTTAAAGGAAAGGAAAAGCCTGAAATTTGTTTAGTTTAAACATAAATTTGTCACAAAGCATGTTTAGGTAAAAACAAATTAGACACCAAAACAGAATTAAAAAAAAAAATCCAATATGGCCGAAAAATCCAAGATGGCGGACATTTTTAGTAATATAGAAGTAATATTAAAGATACTACTGAAAATTTTAAGGCATTTAAACATAAGAGACTAGAATTTAAGAGATAAAAACTCCTTTGAACCATCACTATATTTAGGGTTAACGCAGCCAACACTACACTCTTCCCTGCCCTATCTGCTAGATATAGAACTTTCGTGTATTTTATCTGGCACTCTATGTGTGAGGGGGTTAAAACATGTGCAGTAATTAAAGGCACCTTTCTATGAGTACTCTTGGACTTGGACTTTGGTGTTCGTTTTTCTGTTATTGGTCGTCGTCTTCGTTCTTCTGTTATCGGTTCTCGTCGCATTTCTCTGTTGTCAGTTCTTCTGTTATTGGTCGTCGACTTTCGTTCTACTGTTATCGGTCCTCGTCGCAGTTCTCTTGCTGTTATTGGTCGTGATCTTCGTTCTTCTGTAATCGGTCCGGTGTCAGTTCTTTTGTTGTGAGATGTTCTGTTGTCGGTCCTCGTCTCTGTTTTTCTGTTAACGGTCGTCGTCTTCATTGTTCTATTATCGGTTCTCGTCTTCGTTCTTCTGCGTTCTTCTGTCATCGGTTCTCGTCTCTATTTTTCTGAAATCAGTCTTGGTCTACGTTTTCTTGTTATCAATTCTTCTGTCATCGGTGCTAGTCTCTATTTTTCTGTAATCAGTTTTGGTGTACGTTTTCTTGTTCCACTCTGCTGTCATCGGTGCTAGTCTCTATTTTTCTGTAATCAGTCTTGGTCTACGTTTTCTTGTTCCATTCTTCTGTTATCGGTGCTAGTGTCTATTTTTCTGTAATCAGTCTTGGTCTACGTTTTCTTGTTCAATTCTTCTGTCATCGGTGCTATTTTTCTGTAATCAGTCTTGGTCTACGTTTTCTTTATCAATTCTTCTGTTATCGGTGCTAGTCTCTATTTTTCTGTTATTAATTCTTGTCTCCGTTGTCCGTTGTCTTGTTGTGAGCCCCAAAAGATATATTTCACGAGTGGCGCAGCCACGAGTGAAATATGAACTTTTGGTGTTCACAAGGTGAAATATATTTCGATCTTACACTAAACTAAACAAATTTTCTTTTTATTATATGCAAATGAACGTTTTAAAAGACATTAAACCTAATACTGAATGAAAAGCGCGCCAAATAATAATACAAAGTGACGTCATTTACGACGTCACGTCTTTAAGTTGGTACCCAGTTCTGTGCACGCTGGTATTTTACTGAAACAACGTAAGGGGCTTAAATTCAAAACAGTGAAATTATCAAAGTGGTAATTTCACTGTTTCAAACAGTGAAATTACCAGTTTTATATCACTGATATATTTCTATAAACCACCGAAAAGCATATAATAAAAAACTATAAAACTAATGTTAGTGAAAGTCATATCTGCTAAAAATATAAACGTTATCCGCAGTAGCACAGCCGGTTAAGTGATTGACTGATGTGTGAGAGGTCTATGGTTCGATTCCTACTGTTGCCTTTATTAAAGACCTACTGTTTGTTTTGTTTGTTTGTTTTTTTTTATTGGAGGGGGGGGGGGGGGGGGGGGGTGTGCAGTGTATATTTTAAAACACTTTTTGTCTCGGTTTTTGTTGTGTTTATGGCATTGAAATGGTATTTTTTAACATTTCAAAATAATCTTTAAATTAAATATCAATTTTAAACCATAAATACCATGATAAGTGCAAAATAAATGAAAACAAAATGAACAACTTAAAAAAATCATTGCTACAAGTAATTTTGAAAATTACGGAACACCGGAAGTGACGTTTTCCACACTTTCTCCAGGAATTGAATTCGTTTTTACGAGATAATAATTCCCAATTAGAAATATTATTTCGTTTTAACGAAATATAAAATCTTAATTAAATCTTAATTATATATGAATGTTATCATTAATAACTACTGTTTCATTTCAAGGAGAGAGTTTCTAAAAAAGCTTCTAGCTTTCTACTTAATCCTTTTTGCATTTTATTGTAATATATTGTGTATATATATATATTTGCTGAAAATAAAATATTGTTTAAACCAAAATCTTAATTACGAAATATTGATTCGTTATTACGAAACATTATTTCAAAATAACGAAATATTAATTTGTTTTTACGAAATATTTATTCTTTGGTAAAATTTATAAAGAAGGATTTGAAACTAAGTTTATTGTTAAATATAAGTCAAGTAAACAAAACATAAAAAGTGATTTTTTTTTCAATCTTATACGTCTTAGTCTTATACCTTAACGCGCTAGTAAAACAATACTGTATATAACTGTTAATTGAGCCATCGTTATATTTGGTGGCCAATCTCATTAAAATCAGATCATATTGAATAATCATTTGATTTTGACAAGAATAATTAATTGCATCATATTGTATCATAGTTTTAATGGCATATTTTAGTTTTTTAAGCGGCCATTTTAAATTGACCTTTTGAAGGTGAAGGTCAATTTTATTTTCTTGGTATCCACCCTCATCGTCTTCAGCATACCCATATTAGGTTAAAACGCTCAAGATATTACTTGTACTATAAAATGCCTCTAGCATTCATATTTTCTTAAAATCAGTCCAGTCTATGTAGTCATTTTTTTGAATTGATGGACATTTTTAAAAAAAAACCGCAAACATTTTTACATAGAGTCCGGGTAGATATGTCTGATGTTTACCATAAATTACTTGAAACATTTGAAATCATAATAAAAGTCAAACTTTTATATGATTGTTTAATAATAAAAAATACACCCGGATATTCAAAAATTCGAAAATATGAGAAATGCATCCGGATATTTGAATATATAATAAAAATGCACCCGGATATTTTAGATTATTGAATCAAAAGCCATTAATTCTTGTTGATGAACATCTTTTATTTGAATATTGCATCTCTTCAAATTCTAAATATATTTTTCAATTAAATCATCAGACCTAATGCTTGTGTTACTGTTGTTGCATGTCTTTTAAAATAAAGTCATGTAATGTTAATTTTAGATTTCCATACGAAAAACGTACTATACAAGCTGTTGAATGAAAGCAGGAGTGGCTTTGACCTCCACGACTCTATCCCGTCAACAAGAACGCCGACCTCGTGTTGCCGTCTGTGTAACCAGCGTCCTCCGTGTGTAATGGTCACTTACAACAGCACAGGGGGCGCCTGTAACTTGTACAAGGAGAATGCTACAGTTTTAGACAACGTTGAATGCACTGCAGACAAATGCTATCTGATAGAACATTTGTTTTAAAATCTGAACAGTTCATTCAGATCTTTTTTTCATGTTACGTCATATTTAGTTTAAACATACAATATCCATAATCATTGCAGTTCAATTTATAACACCCTTACCGTATATCACGTGCATGCTAAATGAATACATATACAAGAGAAACTTGTATTGAAATATTATGCCCTAGCAGTGCAAACTTATATTGTTTTACATGCAAAACCAGGTGACTGTTTAGCTTAGTGTCAAAATGATTTCAACTTGAAAAAATCCAGTCTTACATATTTCTTTCTAATATCATTCAAGAACAATAAATCTTAAGGAAAAGAATGAAATTGTTCAGTATTGGTTTGCTCCCCTTCATAACATATTGCAGCTTATGCTAGCTAAGGCTGAAGAAGATCTGGATCAGGATCAAATGAAACTCAACTTATTATCAGTGCTTAATAAAATAAAATGGTATATAGACAAAACATTAAAAATGCTGACTTGCAAAAACAACAACAAACAACAACAAAAATAACAACCTGTGATACAAACTGAGGAACAACATTATAAATTCAAGAATCGGATCAATTTAGTATTCGGATCAACTATTAAATGCATTTATCTTGTCAAGTAATAACAATATGATTTAAAATTTCCCGTAAGCCGAAAGAAAAGAAAGACTCTTGCAGGATTCGAACAGTGAAGTGTGAACAGTGAAGTCGGTATATTTGACAATCCGCCATGGAGACACGACGGGATGTGTGAGTATTAAATGCATTAAGAATTTTAATCTTAGAAAAAGAGTTAATCCCCCTTCAATCTTGCATTCGAAGGGAGAAAAAAAACTTGTAAAATAACCCCCTCCCCACCGTATTGCATTCACAGAGAGAATAACACACTATTAAACAATAGTAAAATTCTATACTTTATATCAATATAAAACATTAGTTCTGATACCCAATACTCAATGAAATCAAATTTGTAAATTACATAACATATCAATAACAGATATTTTAGAATTTATTTCATTTTATAACATATTAGTTATCGATTTTCTAGAATTAATTTCATTTTCTGCAATACAACGCAAACATCTAACCCGCGTGTCAAACAGATTGATATTTGCTTTAGAAACTAAACAAAATAAACGAAATGGTTTACAATCATTCAAATTAGATCTGCGTTTATGTTTTCGGAGATAAGGGTTTTTCTTCTTCAAGAGACGCTTAATGAAAAATAATTGCGATTATTATTGTCAGATTAAATGGTTTTAATCTGATTAGATATTTCTAATTTCAAATTCATCTGCAACGATATTATTATCAGATGCCGTCAGTTTTAACCCTAAAAGAGATTAGCATATGCCACCAGTATAGAGCCATGCCAACTGTTGGCAGCTTAAATTTTGTACTTTCATATTGCAAAGCCTAAAATCTTGATCTGACTGTCCCAAATTTAAATTAAAAAAGAAATTGAGAGAATATGTTTAATTGTAAAAGAAAATGATCTACAACTGTTGTGGCGTTTTTCTGAGTTTACCGTCCGGATCACGGCAGTAAGCCACATTGAATTAGCCAGAGCACATTTCAGCCACCGCATCGTTCCTGGACAGGCTATCAAGCAGTTTACCAGTACTAGATGACCTAACTTTCGTAAGGAACTGCTATCACTTCTGTAAATGCCAGAGCAGATGCACAATGCGAATGACCGTAGAAAGCATTTCAAGATCAACCACAAAGGAAGTGGCCTGCATACCTGGATCGCCCGATTCACAGTCTAACGCTCTACCAATATTTTGTGTTCTTTTTAATTGAATGAACCAAACGAATTATAAAGAAAATATCAAAGTCAGGTACCAAAAATGTTCTCAGATATGCTAGATTTGTCGTCTGCTGTACGGCATGTTGTTTTCGCCTTTATTTTGATTATATATACATGATGGTTGTTGACTTTATCAAAACGTAACACATGTTTCAAATTATTTTATTCGAGTGCCCGTTGTAAATCAAACTTCTTTTGAATTCTTATAATCAAACTTATATTCAACCATTTGTGGTTAAAAAAATTATTCGTAGACCCACTTCTTAATTAGTAAAACAAGTGACACTTTTCTAAGAAAAATAAAGCATCCAGTAACCGTGTTTGTCTAATTCGTTGACATAAAATATAGCAGCCAAAATAACACTTCAACGTCTAGCCACATTAAAGTATACTGGATCCTGAACACAAATAGCATTGCAGCAATAAATAAACAACTTAAGGAAACGTGTTGAATAACAAAACGTTAATGCAATTTTCTAATAACATTTGTGTTTAACAACCCTTGTATACCTTTAAAGTTTAAATCGAACAAGTACAATTATCTTTTTATCATACAAAGGCTATTTTTTAAAGAAACAAACAAAAATAACAAAAACAACAACATTAAAAACAAACCGAAAACCCTAAAACAAGAGCAGTACCAACAACAACAACAACAACAACAACAATACCAAACAAAACACCCCTTGATATATTTTATTAGTATATTTTTGTAAGTAACGTAATTTGTAAGTAACATGATATGTAAGTATCATGTACATGATTCAATTAACATGATTTAATTAATTACAATTTATTTTACAAAGCTCAAAATCGTTTTTGGCCTGTCAATCGTAGGATTGCAAGACCGCAGTGTTTTAACCATATTTTTCATATCGTGCAGTCTACTCCGTTTGTCGTACCGGAAGCCTAAGTTCATCCTCATCCGTGTCAGCAGCTTACGCATTGATAAATAGTTCCTACAGAATCACTGCGCTTTTACCGTGTGTAGTGTGAGAGGCCATGTGTTACTGTCGAACTGGGCCCTTTATTGTAAAAGTATTATAGTGACATTATTTTGTTATTTTATTTTATATTTTTTCGTCTTTACACGATATATGAATAGAATAATACCCTTTTAAGGAGTTTGTGACACTTTTTTTTATTTAGGTTAGTTGTTTTTGTTATTAAATTGTAAAAAGAATGAACACATAAGATGTCATAAGATATAATTTATAAACAAATGTTCACTATTCTATGTAACATATATGAACAGATGATATAAAAGCAAATCTATCGTTTACGTTTGAGTGATTTTTGTAAGAGCAAAAATATATTTTTACCTTTGATGATACGTTCCTAACGTTCAGTAAAAAAGAAACTTACCATATTTACATACTTAAATATTTTATTGAAATTAAGTATAACATACTTAAATTCTTTATTGAAATTAAGATCAACTGTATATGGTGTCACATGGTCTATTGTGCATTCCTCTTTACAAAACTTAACAAAATGAAACTTTCTTTCCTTTGGTAATTTAAGCCGTTCTATACTCTAAATTAAAATGATACGCTATGAAAATAGTATGAAAAATGTTAACTAAAGATTGTAGATTTATTAATTTCACTCTATTAATTTCACTCTATTAATTTTACTCTATTAACTTCACTCTATTCATTTAACTCTATTAATTTCACACTTTTTTCTCACATTCTCTTTCATTTCCCGGAAACAGTGCAAACTATGTTAACTGTCTGTAACAATCAAAGTTATAGCATTGCGTTACAAAAAACCCAACAAAAAACCCCACAGACACACAGACACACACACAACACAACAAAAAAACCCCCAAAAACAACAACAACAACAACAACAAAACAACAACAACGGCAACATAATCATACGTTATGAGTTAGTGAGATAGCTTTCTATTCTTCAGTACTTTGATTTTATCAGCTATTAGCAATTCTTGAACATTTCTTCTCTTCTATATTAATTCACTGCAGTCCAGTCTGGATAATTAAAAAAAATAACGTCTTACACTGAAACATTATCTTGTGTGGATTTCCCATAATGCCCATTAGAATGGCGAAAGAAATTACTTACATTTACTATTGTTATCCCTGATGGAATAAATCTCAAGAACTTTAGTAATATTCTCACATATTTTTCTATATTTAGCACAATGCGATCTCAGACAGATTATCGAGATTATTTGGAGATTATTTCTGATTAATGCATATCCTTAAAGTTTTCGTGTACTTTTATTTATATAGCGCTTTATAAAAAACATCATTTACAAAAATATGAAATTTTCATTGCCATATAATAGTTCACAATTTTTCGTTGTCTGCGGTTTTGTTAATTGTTGTACTGCTTATTTGACAATATTATACAAACCGAAAACCTTAAAAAAGAAGGAGAAAATTCCCACAAATTACGTCGCTTTAGAGTTTTAAAGCAACAGAAACTTTTTTAATTAACAAAAAGACCTTGTTTCAGAAAATGGTTATTTGATTTGTTTAAAGATGAAATCAAGTTACTTTTTGTCCACCTTGAGCAAGTATCTGTCAACAATTTATTTTGAAACAATACGAGGGGCATATTTCAATTAGTGGCAACAACTCAATTTAACCATGATTTGCACGTGAAAGAATATGTACTGTTCGAAAGATTATTGATTTTTCTAACCAAGGGTCTATTTTCGCACGATTTCCATGTGCAATAAAATTTTAGCAGGTCGTTGTAAACATTGCTGAGTTGCATTGTGATTTGAGAGTGGAGCAAAGAGCTTATTGCAAAATTCGTGGGTTATTGCGTTGCTCGTCAGAAATAAAAACTGACCTAGATTTAGTTTATGCAGAAAATGCCCTTCCATATCGTACAATTGCCAGTTGGGTGTCAAAGTTTAAAGAAGGGAGCACTAATGTTATTAAGGATGATCCCGCCCGGGACGGTCAATTCACGCTACCTCTGAAAAAGACATCAGCATTGTCAAAGCTATAGTTGATGAAGATGCAAGATATACCATGGAGGAGATTAGTGACATATCGGGCCTTAGTGCACCATAATTCCATCTTGATAAAAAACGTTAAAGTTAAGGATAGTGTGCGCCCGGTGGATTCCGCATTTGCTAACTTCTGACCAGAAAAGGGAGCGTGTTGAAAAAGTCTCGGCCTTATTGGCTAGGTCCAAAGATCGAGACTTTAGACGCCTGAGAGAAATTGTCGCAGGGTATAGGTGATGAAATAGTGACCACTGTCGCTGTGCCTGAGAGGGGTAGTGAACATTTCACCGTGACCATGTTCTCACTGCTGTAGTTAATCACAAAATTACAAAGAAACCAAGGTCTGGGGTGCGCAGAATCAAATTACTCCACGACAATGCATCCTGCGCAGCGGCCAGCCTTGGTTCAAGCTTACTTA